GTGGCAATAGCCCTGTGGAAGCTTGCACTGCCAGACAGCTACCAGTCAATCGGGAATCAATTTGGAGCGGGCAAATCTACTGTGGGCGCTGCTGTGATGCAAGTAGGAAACGCAATCAAAGATCCGCTGATATCAAGGGTAGTGACTCTGGGAAATGTGCAGGTCATAGTGGATGGCTTTGCTGTAATGAGATTCCCTAACTGTGGTGGGGCCATAGACGGAACCCATATCCCTATCTTGGCACCGGAGCACCAAGCCGGCGAGTACATAAACCGTAAGGGGTACTTTTCAATAGTGCTGCAAGCACTGGTGGATCACAAGGGACGTTTCACCAACATCAACGTGGGATGGCCGGGAAAAGGACATGACGCTCGCATCTTCAGGAACTCTGGTCTGTTTCAAAAGCTGCAAGAAGGGACTTTATTCCCAGACCAGAAAATAACGTTAGGGACGTTGAAATGCCTATAGTTATCCTTGGGGACCCAGCCTACCCCTTAATGCCATGGCTCATGAAGCCGTACACAGGCAGCCTGGACAGTAGTCAGGAGCTGTTCAACTACAGGCTGAGCAAGTGCAGAATGGTGGTAGAATGTGCACGTGGACGTTTAAAAACTCGCTGGCGCAGTTTACTGACTCGCTTAGACCTTAGCAAAACCAATATTCCCATTGTTATTACTGCTTGCTGTGCGCTCCACAATCTCTGTGACAGTAAGGGGGGGGGAGACGTTTATGGCGGGGTGGGAGGTTGGGCAAATCACCTGGCCGCTGGTTACGCACAGCCAGACACCAGGGCATTAGAAGAGCACAGAGAGGCTTTGAAAACCAGTTTCATGACTGGCCAGGCTACAGTGTGACGGTTGTGTGTGTTTCTCCTTGATGAGCCCCCACCCACTTGGTTCACTCTACTTCCCTGTAAGTAAGCTAACCACCGTCCCCACCCCCCTTCGATCACCACTTGCAGAGGCAATAAAGTCGTTGTTGCTTCACATTCATGCATTCTTTATTAATTCATCACACAAATAGGGGGATAACTGCCAAGGTAGCCAGGGAGGGGTGGTGGAGGAGGGAAGGACAAGCCCACACAGCACTTTAAACATTTAAAACTTTAAAATTTATTGAATGCCAGCCTTCTGTTGCTTGGGCAATCCTCTGGGGTGGAGTGCCTGGGTGGCCAGAGGCCCCCCCACCACGTTCTTGGGCATCTGCATGAGGAGGCTATGGAACTTGGGGAGGAGGGCGGTTGGTTACACAAGGGCTGTAGCGCCAGTCTGTGCTCCAGCTGCCTTTGCTGCAGCTCAACCATACGCTGGAGCATATTAGTTTGATCCTCCAGCAGCCTCAGCACTGAATCCTGCCTCCTCTCATCACGCTGCCACCACCTATCAGCTTCAGCCCTCTTTTCAGCCCACCACCTCTCCCCCTGGTCATTTTGTGCTTGCCTGCACTCTGACATTGTCTGCCTCCACGCATTCGTCCGTGCTATGTCAGTGTGGGAGGACAGCATGAGCTCAGAGAACATTTCAACGTGAGTGCATTTTTTTCGCCTTCTAATCTTCGCTAGCCTCTGGGAAGGAAGATCCTGTGATCCTTGAAACACATGCAGCTGGTGGAGAAAAAAAAAAGGGACAGTGGTATTTAAAAAGACACATTTTATAGAACAATGGGTATACTCTTTCATGGTAAACCTTGCTGTTAACATTACATACATAGCACATTTGGTTTCGTTCCAAGGTCGCATTTTGCCTCCCCCCACCGCGTGGCTAACCCCTCCACCTTTCCCGTGGCTAACAGCGGGGAACATTTCTGTTCAGCCACAGGCAAACAGCCCAGCAGGAACAGGCACCTCTGAATGTCCCCTTAAGAAAAGCACCCTATTTCAACCAGGTGACCATGAATGATATCACTCTCCTGAGGATAATACAGAGAGATAAAGAACGGATGTTGTGTGAACGCCAGCAAACATACACTGCAATGCTTTGTTCTGCAATGATTCCCGACTCCGTGCTACTGGCCTGGCGTGGTAAAGTGTCCTACCATGGTGGATGGAATAAGGCTGCCCTCCCCAGAAACCTTTTGCAAAGGCTTTGGGAGTACATCCAGGAGAGCTTTATGGAGATGTCCCTGGAGGATTTCTGCTCCATCCCCAGACACATTAACATACTTTTCCAGTAGCTGTACTGGCCGCGAATGCCAGGGCAAATTAATCATTAAACATGTTTGCTTTTAAACCATGTATACTATTTAAAAAGGTACACTCACCAGAGGTTCCTTCTCTGCCTGGCGGGTCCGGGAGGCAGCCTTGGGTGGGTTCAGGGGGTACTGGCTCCAGGTCCAGGATGAGAAACAGTTCCTGGCTGTCGGGAAAACCGGTTTCTCCGTTTGCTTGCTGTGAGCTATCTTCCTTGTTCCCCAAACCTGCTTCCGTATTGCCTCCCTCTCCATTGAAGGAGTCAAAGCACATGGTTGGGGTAATGGTGGCTGAACCCCCTAAAATGGCATGCAGCTCATCATAGAAACGGCATGTTTGGGGCTCTGAGTCGGAGCGGCCATTTGCCTCTCTGGTAGGCTTGCCTCAGCTCCTTAAGTTTCACACGGCACTGCTTCGGGTCCCTGTTATGGCCTCTGTCCTTCATGCCCTGGGAGATTTTGACAAATGTTTTGCATTTCGAAAACTGGAACATAGTTCTGATAGCACGGGTTCCTCTCCCCATAGAGCAATCAGATCCTGTACCTCCCGTTCGTTCCATGCCGGAGCTATTTTGCGATTCTGGGACTCCATCATGGTCACCTCTGCTTATGAGCTCTGCACTCACCTGCAGCTTGCCACACTGGCCAAACAGGAAATGAAATTCAAAAGTTCGCGGGCCTTTTCCTGTCTACCTGGCCAGTGCATCTGAGTTGATAGTGCTCTCCAGAGCGGTCACAATGGAGCACTCTGGGATAGCTCCCAGAGGTCAATACCGTCTAATTGCATCCACAGTACCCCAAATTCGACCCGGCAAGGCCGATTTCAGCACTAATCCCCTTGTCGGGGGTGGAGTAAATAAATCAATTTTAAGAGCCCTTTAAGTCGAAAAAAAGGGCTTCATCATGTGGACCGGTGCAGGGTTAAATTGATTTAACGCTGCTAAATTCGACCTGAACTCCTAGTGTAGACCAGGGCTAAGGCTTAGATCGACAAAAGGACATGGGTGTTGTGACCCTGAGCTTTGTGGTGCCTAACTTGTAGACATATAGAAAAATCACAGGAACAACACTATGATCCACTAAGCTTAAATTCATAACTCTGCTAGACACCAAAAATTGTGGACTTAATAAAGACACTGGATTTATGGCCCATTACAGCAATCAGTAACCCACTATGGCCATGTCTCCTCTAGCAGCTGTGCCACTGTAAGATTGCTCATGTAGCCACTCTACACTGACATAATAAAACCACCTCAATGAGTGGTGGTAGCTATGTCGCTGGGAGAAGTTCTGCTGCCGACATAGTGCTATGCACACTGCCACTTATGCCAGTAAAATTTACGTCACTCAGGAGTATCTTTTTTCACACCCCTGAGCGACATAAGTTTTGCCAACATAAGTGGTAGTGTAGACATGGCCTAACTCTCCTTTGTCCTATGACTGTAGAGGGGTTAACTGCACACTTTGCCTTGAATCGTCTCTTGCAACGTGTGTTAACTCCTTATCTGTTCCACCTTGTATTTAGCCATGACACTCTGAGTACCTTTTCCAGACCTGAAGAAGAACTCTGAGTAAGTTTGAAAGTTTGTCTCTTTCACCAATAGAAGTTGGTCCAATAAAAGATATTACCTCACCTTCCTTGACTCTTTAACATCCTGGGACTAACATGGCTACAACACTTGAAACAAATAAATACAGTAAGTACATCATGAATTCCATGCCTGGGGAGGGGAGAAGGTTGGGCATCCACTTAACTGTTACATGATTGCCTCTGAGGTCCAAGCTAGACAATTTGCTTAGATGAGCATAGCTGCAGAGCTTGGTAGGGCTGCAGACCTGTTTTGGGCTCCACACCACAGACAAAAATAGTCTGTATTTGGCCTGTCGATATAAATCCTAATCGTATTTGTCACCTCTCTTTTCTGAGTCACTTTAGCACTTCGTATCCACTTATAGTACATGACTACAGCAGTCTTTAAAATTAAGGCACAGTATTTTACTTTTTAACAATAATCAACTGTTAGTTGATTATGGGTATATTCATGCTAGAATAAACACACATTTGTCTCTGGGTGGGATAAAACATGCAGAGTGATTCTTTGATTTCTCCCTCACTCCAGTGTAAATGAGGAGTGGCTCCACTGAAGTCAATGTAGTTACCCTGGTATAAAACCAGTATTAGTAAATACTGATTCAGGCCCATAATATCTGATTAGATTCCTTGTCCTTAATAGGGAATGACTAAATAACATATTTGCAGCTAAAATACTTCCAAGCTGTCACATAGCTCCTTAACTTTCTTTCCAATATTCAGCAACGACCACAGGCCATCAAGATATGTACAAGATATGTGAAAGAAAGCTATAGTTATGGACACATTGCAGCTACATAATATACTGTATTAACATCATTATGACTAGTTGTTTATCATGGAAGAAAAACAGAAAATTCAAAAGGAAAAAAAACAAATCAAAAAGTCACAGGATCACATTTTTTAACAAAATTTCATTTTTTTAAGTTAAAATAATTAAAACCATCTGTTAATAATTAATGGCTGAGATGCATTCATAAGTCCAGGCTACTCTCCCATACAAAAAAAAGATATGGTTTGAATTTGCTATCTATATATACTGAACTTGTAAACGATTCATGAGAGCTTTGGTTGGGATTAGACTCGCTGGGTTTATAAATTCCACAAGCCATTGTGAAAAAAAACTCCTAAGGGTCACAGTTTTTGTCCCGAAAGCGATGGCCATGACAAACACACCGCCGTAAACCTGATACATAAAGTTGAAACAGAGAAAGAACCTTACCTGCCTGCGCAGCTGTAATTAGAGCCGTGTTCCCTTCATTGTCCTGCCAGTTTACATCAACATGAGGGCACTGTGCTAAGGCTATTACAATATCCACAAAACCTTGGTAACAGGCAACAATAAGGCCAGTCTATAAATAAAAAATAAGGAGGTAGTTAAGGGTAAGCAGACTGATCAATAGTACATTAAAGAAGCATATCATTTGGGTTTTTTTGTTTTTTTTTTTTAAACATGAGAGAAACAACATGACATTTGAGTATTAACTAGTGCTGAGCCTAAATTGCAAAGTTTGAATCTGAATTTCCACAAAGTTAGGGTAGATTGGGTGAGGGATTACTCTGGACCTGCATCTGAGCTCCCACAAAACTGGGCGTGTGTGTTTGGATCTGGGGCTTTTGTTCGGGCTAATTTTCTTAGGGCCAGATTGTTCCCTGCTGCTTCATGGTTGCACAGGGATTGAAGTGAAGATGAAAGGCACAGCAATGGGCTCCATAGTGGTCCCCGTGCTTCATACACTAAAGAGACTGCTCTCTGCATGTGCCCCTTGGGTTCATGACACCCCAAAGGGGCAGGAGGTAGGGTAGGCCATGACTGTGTCCCCAAAAAACCAACAGGGAAGGGGGGGTAAAAGCAGATATGTGGAGATATCCACATTCCTCTAAATGCAAGGCTGTGCCTGAAATTAATCATTGACCCTTTTATTAGGCTTGGGTTTACATTTGTAAATTACTTCCTTAAAAAAAAAAACAACAGTAAATAATATATATTGAAAAATATTAAATGAGCTCTAACAATTTTAAATATTATGGAAAATTATAATCCACTGAGCCCCACTAACTACCATTTATCAATCAGTGCCACTAGTAATTTGTTATAGTTCAGCTAGTGACCATAGTGTTCCAGATTCAGAAATTAGTTTTTACAAAATATTTTAATTCAGAAATTCTACTTCTCACAATAGATTGTGGATAATAGGAAAAAAAAAACATGTAGCTCTAATAGGGTGCGAATCATTATATTGTAAATCAATGTGGGATTATGAAATATAAGAGTATTCATAAGACACCATACAACTCATTTTTGGAAGCACAAAAAAGGCTCATATTAAAATACAGACTAGTATGCTTTTAGAACACTAATGTTCTGACTTAAATTTGGGAAATTCAGATTTAAGGCACCCATGGCATACTGATTTCTGTGCCTTATACATATATTTTATGGTGGGACACAAGAACTTTCCTTATATTATCACATAGCAATAAGCCAGGCATAATACTGTACTGCTAGGCAAGAATTATTTTACAAATGTGGCCTAATGATATGCAGGTCTAGAAAAATTTTGTATACTAATTATTATAAACTATCAGATTATATTATATGTCAAGATGAACACAAGAAGTTCCCAGGCCACTGGGTGATTTTGCATTTAGTCATCTGAAAAGCAAATATCTGTCCTATAGGTAGTTTTATTTTAAGTTCATAATATCTGTGGTCAATTTTAAATATTTCACCTATCGCCTGGCAATCCCGCATTCTTAACACTGTAAATAAAATAAATCAGTTTAAAAAAATCACCATTTAATATTCATAATAACAACTAAAAGATCAGTAAAATCTCCTGGAGGAAGAGAAACCAGGAAATGTATCTGACCACCCAATTTAGCCCTGAACCATTGTTTAATTAAAAAACAACAAAATAACAGCTTCCCTGAAATATCAAAATACTCCAGCCATTGATTAAATGGAACCAGAGTACTTAATCCTCAACATCTCATTTGACCATTAGAATTAAAACCATTATCTCATAATTTCAGGATTACTTGCGTAACCCAGTACATAAGCATCCACAGTGCTCTGATAAATGTACAAGATAAGGCAGCAACAAGTAAAATAACTTCAGTGTTTAGTGAGAGTCCATGGGTTTTCCCCACTACCTACACATTGTTCTTAAATGCTGACTGTGATCTAAACACATCAACTAACTGCTCAGAAGACAGAGGCAAAGAATAAGGAGACAAAATTAATCCTTTCTACTCTGCTCCCTCTGCCTAGCCAGAACACACGGACATGCAGAATTCAACTTGACCACCAATTTACAGGGAGAAGTAAGAAGCCTGTTGGTGAAAGAACTTTAAACCTAATGATGTGGCAAACACAAACCTCTCTGAAATTTTTTCAGTTCAAATGACCCCATTTGACTCCTAGTTGGTCCCTATTTAATCAGAGAAGTGATGACTGCTGTTAATAGTAGCAGGGTCTTTCACATACTCCAGCCTGTCCACCATGTGCACAAGAGAGAATCCCCTTCTAGCTACCACTGTAGCTATAACCCCTTAGTCACATTTAAAGCGGAGTAATGGGGAGGAGTAAGCACATCAGAATATGACCCTTAGGTTTTCTTTCTTTCTTTGGGAAAATTAAAACAGCAGCAAGGGCACAACATGATGTGGGAAAGATCATTATTGAATAGATATGAAACACCAAAGTTGCACATTTCTTGTAGCCATGGGATCAATAAGCTTGTAAAGGAAAGACCTCAGCAGAAACGATCTCTAATCTTTTTTGTTAAGGAAAATATTGGACCAGATGTCTGGCTGGTGTAAATTGGCATAACTGCACTGAAATTAATAAAGCTATGCCAATTTACACCAGTTTAAGTTCCACTGAATGCACCAAGGGAGAAGTAAGCAAGCAGCTGTGATTCACGGGTGTGTCTCTGAGTCACAATACCTCTCCAGGCTATTCCTGAGGTGATGAGCTTTACATACCACTCCTCGCTTAGGGATGTGCCTAAATTGACAATAAAACCATTAGCAAATACAGCAGACAGTAGATCACTTCTGGGCTTAGTTTACTCAGCCTACTTCTACCACAGTACCACTACTGCTAATAATCCCATCCTAGCCAATCCCACCACCTTTCTTAATTACTCTTACCCCAGCCCTGTAGTCTGCACAATTGATGTACTTCTGACACAGACCCCACTGGGCAACGAGCTTCCTCTGCCAAGCTATTTTGACATTACAATCAGGTTGCTATTAGTCAATACATTAATGTTACAAAGTTGTCTCAATTTCCTGTTCCATTTAAATTCTGGGTTGTCCTTTCAGTTCAGGTGACAAACAGTTTAGTTAAGATACAGACAAAATGACATCTTTTTGGTCAGCGTACAGACCACAATATTTCTCAGCTGGACCTTTGAATAAGACTATTATTCTGATTTCTTTTTTACACAATTCACCTCAGACCCAATATTTAACAAAGCTCAGCACTCCTTGATAAAGAGCATTTCAATTTCCTTCCAGTTAACATGCAATACTTCAAAAGATTCCTTTGAAACTGGATAGGGGGTCTTGTTAAGTGAAAGTATCCTTATTTGCATACAACTTCAAGTAACACTATCAGAAGACATTCATTTTCCAGGTGGGGCTGTCTCAGGTAACTGAAATCTTACAGTAATTTAATCATTCTGACCCCCTGCAGGTTTGTGCATTCCCTTTGCCTGAACGGTTGGTCCTGAGACACAATGCAACTCTTTTTGGTCAGACCCTTAACATTACTCTCTTTCTTTAATAATTTCACTTCCTGTTGAATACTCAGGACTTAAATCGCCTCAGTTTTAAAAATCTGCAGATGAAAAACATAGTCTGATCACATGGAAAAAGTAAAATATTAATGGTATCAGCCAAATAAGTGTACAAAAGTTATAGGAATATAGGGCTCTTCAGGAAAAGATGGGCAATTGTTTTATTTGAGAAGAAAATAATCTTTAATACAATGATATTTTTAGCATGCCCTGACAACAATACAGTATAGTTCTGCTTTTCAGTGGGTAAACCACTGACTGCTTCAATCACTATTCGGAGTATCAATCCTGTAATGAGTTCAGAAACTTGTTAGTGTACTTCAGAAAAGCCCATTGCTCATTTCCTGAGCTTGCTTCTTGCTTTCTACAGAAAAAAAAAAAGAGAAAACCCCCTTCATTTGTGGGAAGATTGCTGCATTACAGCATTTTGAGACTTTCCTCATTTTGAAAGGCTTCTAGGCAAGGTTTCTTTGTAATCCAAAGCATCACTTATTGGAGTTCAGACACAGGTTTGGAGAAATCTTGCCAGTTTATTTAAAAGGTTAATATTTCACATGACTCTTTTATGGTTTCCAGAGAATTTAAGGACCAATTAACCTAAAAAAGAATTTCTCCAAACCCTGAACAGTTGCTTCATGTCTTTCTTTTTCAAGGGTTTCTGCAGTCAAACATGCGACTGATGCCAAAGCTGTTGTCATGATTGAGTTCTAATGCAGTGCCTTGGACCCAATCAGATCAGTGTCCCTTTGTGCTAGTAGTCACTGTACCAACATGCAGAAAGCCATCGTTCTGGCTCCAAAAAACGTACAGTCTAATTGGAGAGGTAGCACACGCACACAGGAGGACCAAACTATACTGCAAAGTGACAGGGAGAGATTACTCCAACAAGAGCTGCAGCGAATGGGAGGACACTTTTATTAAAGACCTACACCCAGGGAAAGGAACTAAATAACACACATACACAGTATTGAGCAATGTAATCAAATGGCGACAAGTGTCTCATTAAAGTGAGTTTATTTTCATCTAATCTTCTTATGGCCATCCTAATATTTTCATATAGCTATTTGGTGTGGGATCTGGAATGGGTGGGTGGCAGGGGAGCTGGTCCACTAATATCTTTGTTTTAAGAACTGATCCACAGAATAACATATTTGAGAACCACTTCTATAGGAATTGTACCTCACTGTCCTTCCTGCCCAAAGAGAGGAAAAGCTTTCAGATCTGTCTGAAAACTCAGACTATGTTCCATTTAACATAAGCACAATGGCAACATAAAAGTGTTGACTTTTATTTTTAATATGCATTACATGTTATGAAGCTTTACGAACAAAATATGATGTAGACATTTACTGATATGTTATAATTCTGTCACCATTCCCCTTCCCTCAACATATTATTCTGTGCAACAAGTCAGGTTATTTTAATCACACAGCACTATTTTCCTCCTGCTGAAAAGAGATTCCTGGTAAGACTAGTGATAATGCTGTCCCCTTATTTTTTTATTTCTTGAGGAGGAGAATGAATAAAAACTATGAGATTGTGAAGCCTAACATGACGTCCTTCCATAAGAACTATATAAGCCTGGAATAGTAGAAAATGGACAGTAGTGACAAAACAGCTGTGAATGTTGTTTAGCAAAAAATTTTGTTATAAAACTTTCACATCATTTGTAAAATAGACACTATTTTCAGCTGTCACTAATCCTGCAATACAATGAACATACTATACAAACACCCATTAGTACTTTGCTGCCACAAGTAGTGTCTATTTCTTTTTGAGGGCATATTTTTGAATAACTACGGACAGACTAGATCCACGTAGGTAGCTCTCTCTGATGTTAACAGAGATTTCTGTGCATAAACAATAGTTAAATGCTGGAATATAGAGCATTTATGTTACACTCTATAGCATTAGGCAGTAGCATAATTCAGTTGAGTGAACTGATACAAAGTCCACTCCTGTGCATGTCTTATACCTTAAATGTAATATATTATGGGTAAGGCTGTAAGAAAGTTGTGGGGGTAGGGGGTGGCTCAGAAGTTCCAATCACAGTCTGTTAAAATTGTGATTAAAGTAAGTTGCGGACGGGCCAGATTTGAGTGGTGTTGCAACAGGGTTGGCATTTCAAATTTCAAAGAGGGAGGGTGCAAATGTCCATGGTGACCAGGGCTGCTTAGTGTTACCTAGCAGCTCTGTGTTCTTGGGGAACCAGGGCGCAGTACCCAGCCTGTCTGACTCATGAAAGACCTTCCCCCCCACAGCCTCTCCTTCAATCAAATTGATCGGAAGAAAGACTAACAAAAAGCAATGAAAAGGCAGAGGGAGACATACCTAAACCCCTGGGATAAGGGTGACAGGATTAAGGAAACTCCACTAGCGTCATTTGCATCGAAGATGGGACAAGGAGGCATCTCCATTAGCATACAGAATGGAGAACAGAGATTCCAAGGCAAGAACTGCATGGAACTCTAGGACCAGAATAGCAGGGAAGCACCGCATGATGGGGGATCTCCGCTCCAGATGTTAATGAACCCATGCCTGCACACACCCAGCTCAGTAGTTATCAGTCCAATTCTAGTAATAAATCCTTTATTGGTATCCAAAATAGTGAAGCTCCCTAATTGCATTGTGAGCTCCCTCCAAGGAACACCATCCATAGCCAGGAATGATCAGCTCCCATTGTCTAGCCTGAACAAAACAACTTTGTTATACTCCCTTGAGCCATCAGCTTACACATACACAAATCCAGTGTTTTCCCTTGAACCATTGGTGTTTCTCTACAAAGACCCCTACCCATGCTTCAAGTAAGTGTTCTGATGCCTGGATCCAAATCTGCATCAGTTCCATTGGATTTCATCCTCTCCTGACTGATCGTGCTGGGAGCTCTGCCTGTCTCCAGCACTCCAGACCCTCAACTACCATCACTACCTGGGACCCTCGATAGATTCAAGCTTCACAGAGTGGTGAGAACCCAGCTCTCTCTCTCTCTAGGTAAAATCTTCTGACCTTGACTTGTGTGATCACTTATAGTTTTCTAAACCTGACCTTTATAATCAAATTTAAGTTAGATTTAATATTATAGCTGTTTTGTTTGTTTGACTCCCCTATGGTTATTAACTGGCAATAAATAACTTTCATGATTAAGCTGGTTGCTTCTCTCTCTCTCTATTCCAGTACGGTGCCCACGGCATATGAGGGTGGCAGCTTGGCGGTGCTGTTTGACCCAGCCTGCTGAGTCCAGGGACATATAAGGAGTTAGCTTGAGAGTGCTGATTAACCCGCTCCTCTCAGATGTGCTCTGTTAATGTGTGTGTGTGTGTTCATCTGATTCTGGGGTTGGAAGAACCCAGCCCTGGGGAACCTAGGTCCTGCAGGATAGCTCCATTGGAAGGGAACTTGCAGCAGGAGAATTAGAGCTCTGTTTGAGAACAAAAGTGACACAAGCAGTACATTGACAGAAGTACAGACCCTTCCCCCCCGCCAGCCACCCCGCCCCAGAAAAGTAACCCTAATAAATGAGCATACCACAAAGCAACAGGCAAAGCTGGTAACATTAGGCCCAGTGCAGCCACCCAGTGCTGGGACCATATGTTGGGGGAAGGCGTTTTAGAGTTTTACCCTCCCTGTCCCACATCCAGCCCTGCTCCCTCTACAAGAGAGTTGCCATTGCAGAACAGAGCAGGCAGGAGCACACAGACTAGGCACCTCTGCCCACCTCAGAGGGTAGCTTTTTCAAAGATAATATAATATAGAACTTACACAAGATCACTTCAGGTAGAGCTGGGTATGGAAACCTGGTTTATAATTAAACACAGCACACTGTCTTTCAGAAATAACTTGCTGTAACCTATATTAGCACAGTGTGACTCAGTCACCCTCTAGCAGCTAGAAGTTATGTACAAGTTTGAGTCTCCTACTGTTTATTTCCTGGTTCTTTAGCTCTAGTGAAGATGCTTATACTGTTATATCTGGAGGTATTGGGTTCAGTCCCTGAAGAGCAGTGGTTTTCAAACTGCAGGTCGTGACCCAGTACTGGGTCACGGAATGGAAGGCACTGGGTCACGATGGCTCTGGTCAGCACCACTGACCGGGCCATTAAAAGTCCCGTTGGCAGTGCTGCCCGGCTAAGGCAGGCTAGTCCCTACCTGTTCTGACACTGCACTGTGACCCGGAAGCAGCCAGCAGCAGGTCCAGCTCCCAGGCAGGGGGCCACAGGGATTCGTGTGCTGCCCCCGCCCTGCCCATGCCTACGAGCGAGAGCCACGCAGAGCCACTTGCGCACCTCTGCCTAGAAGCCGGACCTGCTGCTGGCCGCTTCCAGGGCGCAGCGTGGTCTGCAGTGCCAGGACAGGCAGGAATCCTGCCTTAGCATCCCCGCTGTGCTGCTGCCCGAGAGCTGCCCGAGGTAAGCCCACACCCCAACACCATACCCCAATCTCCTGCCACAGCCCTGAACCCCCCCAAACCCAAAGTCCCCTCCCGCACCCCAAACCCCTCATCCCTGGCCCCATCCCAGAGCCTGCACCCCCAGCCCAAAGCCCTGACCACCTCCTGCACCCCAACCCCCTGACCCAGCCCAGAGCTCCCTCCCACACCCTGAGCCCCTCATTCATGGCCCCACCCCACAGCCTTCACCCTGACACTCCAACCCTGAGCCCCTCCCACACCCCAAACCCCTCATCCCCAGCTCCGTTGGGTCATGGGCATCAACAATTTTCTTCAACCGGGTTGCCAGAAAAAAAGTTTAAAAACCACAGCTGTAGAGGACCCAAACAAGTACACTGTTATGTTTAGCTATGCGGTTTAGATCACAATCTATTCCCAGAGCCAGGAATAAAAAACAAGAATTTTGGCAGCTGGCATTCCTGTGCTGTCTCACAAATACTTGTGTAACCCACTGGTAATAGGTGTGTTGTGTCTTCCTGTTTGGGCTGGTCTATGCAGAGAAGACCAATATGCATTTTCTCTCATCTTCTATAGCAGAAATGGTCTGTCGTGTGGTTTTAAAAGTTGTGGGATCCAACCTTGATCTTGACTCATGGCAGGAGAGAGAGAGATATGTACAAAAGTTAACATGTGAACCTTGGTGTAACTTGTAGAATGATCTGATATTGCAAAACATTACATTTAGAGGTGAATATGGATTCTGTCCTAATATTTGCTTTACTGATTTTTTTAATTATTGGTATTTGGTTAATGGAAACCAGTGTGTAATGACAGGTTTCAGAGTAGCAGCTATGTTAGTCTGTATCCGCAAAAAGAGTAGGAGGACTTGTGGCACCTTAGAGACTAACAAATTTATTTGAGCATAAGCTTTTGTGAGCTACAGCTCACTTCATCGGATGTGTCCAGAGAGTGGATGCCCTGCCTGTGTGAGCTCTGAAAAGGTCAGAACTTGATTTAATAAATTTATATTTCCAGAAAGCAAGCCTGATTCTCAAAGGTGTAACTTTAGTGCTTGAGGGGACTGGATACTACCAGGCATTGTTAATAAGGTATAGAACCTTTCACCAATACACCACTAGTCTGAATCTAGCCCAGCTCAGCTAGGATTAAAAGTTGTTCTCATTTCATTGGTATCCCCTATTCAAGATGAGTTTGGTGAGTCTGTGCTCCAACTCCCATTTCACAAACTCCCTACCATGGATGCGCTATTTTGTAAGTTGTTCATGGCAAAGATTGTCTCTTATTATGTGTTTCTACAGTGACTATCACAATGGGCCCCTGAGCTCAGTTGTGTCCTCTACATACCTCCTAACATTTCGAGTGGCTAAAGTGGGATGCAGTGCCCCTCAGGTGCGGCCCATCCATCCCTCTGTAGATGGAGATAGAGGGGAGGGTGGGCAAAAGTTGATTGGCATTGCAACCTAGTGCATGAGATTACAACACCACTCAGACTTGGCCTGGCCACTCCTCCATAGATGCTGAGAGAGGGGTGACCGGGCCATACCTGAGTGGTGCTGCAATTCTGTGTGCCAGGTCACAACACCTCTTGGTTTGGCATCCCTCTCAAATGCCCCGGGCAAACTATCCCTTTTGCCCCCACTTCCCAGGAGACCCTGACTGTGGGAAATGTTCTGCTCCACCCAGGACAGGGAGTTTTCAGGGATCAAAGTTGGACAGTCTTGTAAAACCTAGGACTGTTGAGAGGTCTGCCTCTAGCAAGAGTGCCTGTAGCAGGGGCCAAAATTGCATTACTCACTCTAAATTTGTCAGACTTAGCAACACTATAATGTCATATATACAGGCACTGCATGAATTCAAAAGACAGAATACAAACCAAAAAGCATGATGTAATTTTTCTTTTTAAAATCACGTTTGGGAGACCAATCTCATGATATTTGGGATGGACTCATAATTTTTGAAATTTTGAAATACTCCTCCTATGTGCAGAGCAAGAATTGTAGGAATAGATTCGGAATGGGAGATAGCCTACTATATATGGAGCCAGAAACAAGGTAGAAGGAGCTAGTTCAGATGGTTTCCATCTAGTAGCAGCTACCAGAGCTAGAGACTGATAGGCAGTGAGCACAGAAGGTGCTGTGATGCTACTACTGACAACTACTCTCACAGTCCTTGTTCACAATATATACTTTTTCTTAATTGAATGCCAACATTTTAGATAAAATGTTTGTGTTTAATACAGACAAAATGTATTTGCTTAATATTTCCAATCCTTCAACATTTTGATTTTAATGTACATTTCAATTTTGATGTGCCACAATCTAATTTTTTGCAAGATGTTCCTTTAAAAAATATTTGCAGGCTCCACCACACAGACATATTCCTCATATTCTGTAATCTTTTTACATTTTTACCCAGATCCTTTCACCTTGCAAACAAGATTTTGAAAATATGCCTTGCTTAACACTTTGGAATGCATTGCCTATTGGAACGAGATACATTTGGCTTCAATATTGTAGTGACAATGCCACATAAGTGTCTAGCTATTGTAGGACAATAAACATGAGAACCACAACCATATGATACTTTTGGAGCTCAGTAGTTACTTCCCAAACCTGGTTGTTCGATACTGTAGTGCCTTTTGTGGTCTCTGCAGGCTGACTTATTTTTTGTGTTTTCTCCTCTGTTTCTGGCTCTGTCCCTAGACATCTTGCAAAAGGCTACAATAGTCCACAATAATGCAGACAGGGCAGGTTATCCAGGATACCCAGTGAATCCCTAATCTCATTTTATAGGAGGCAGCAGCATTAGCTGGGAGAGTATACAGCATCTCAGAAAAGCTGTTTTAATTTTAAAGGCACTAACTTCAGTTAACAATAGTCATAATCGATTTAAAATAGTTTCCATAATCCCAATTAATAAATATAACTGACACAAAATGGCTACTAGCGACTGATGTCTTGGGGCTACTGATGAAGCTGTAAGATCCATTGGACTGCAGAGTAGTCTGCAGTAGCATACAGTTCATCAATAATTTTTTTTTAAAGGCAGTTTAATTGTGGTGCTGGTGAAAGGTTCCCGTTAGACAACCATAGAGTCTGAACTCCTCTATTTATCAGAAGGGTAGCCATGTTAGTGTGGATCTGTAAAAGCGGCAAAGAGTCCTGTGGCACCTTATAGACTAACAGACGTAATGGAGCATAAGCTTTCATGGGTGAATACCCACTTCTTCAGCTGCATCCGACGAAGTGGGTGTTCACCCATGAAAGCTTATGTTCCAATACATCTGTTAGTCTATAAGATGCCACAGGACTCCTCTATTTATATTTATACACACAACAGCTGAAGCACTTTTGCCTCACCTGTGCTCTTCCCTGAGCTCAAGGTACCAACTATTGGGACAAAAGCATAGTTTGCTTCAATCTCTGTCCATTCAGTCCTTGGCCTCTCAGCTGAGGCCAGTCAGAAGGGCAGTTGTAGGCACAGCTTCCCCAACTTTCAGGCAAGGGGCAACAACAGTGTCTCCTCCCACTTCCAGCTTTGAGTCTGAGGCAGAGGAGAGGGGAAGGGGGCAGCAGCAACAATAGCCTTTGCATTTCCCAGAAGTCCTGCCTAATAGCTGAGGAGTGGAGATGCCACACAACAGACTCAGCCAGCACAGGGAGCCAGAGGGAAGAGTCCAGCTTTCCTTCAACTGGATCCATTGACACAGAGAGGGAGGAAAGGTCCCCTCCCCACAGTTCTGGAGCACATGGGAGGAGGCAGAGGACACCCCCACCCCCTCCCACTGGAAAGGAAGGGGAGAGGACCGACTTTCCCCTACACTGGACCTGAAGGGAGGACAGGATAGAGAATGTGGTGGGGGATACAGAAGCACAGAGGACACTGGGGGGGGGGGGGGAGGCGTTGGTCGGACACAGGGAGGACATCAGGGAAAGAGAGCATGGGGGTGACATAAGGGGATACAAAACTTGGAGGTAGACAGAGAGCATGGGGGAAACAAGGGGACCTTGGACACCAAGGTAGAAACTGGCATTGGGGTAACATAAGGAGAGGACAGCACTCCGACACAATGGTAGGGAGTAATCTGAGTGCTGTATACACACAAGCATGGTCATGCACACATGAAGACACACTTTTATGATATAACACAGGGACATAATGCTTCTAGGGGGCTTTGAGGAGGAGGGGAACTGAGCCCATCTGCGGCACTAGCTCCTTGTACCCTTCCAATTTTATATTCGGTTACTGCGCATATTGTCGTGATGTGAAAACTTGTACAGTAGGAAGTAGACACATATATTCAACTCATTTCACATATGCCATTGAACCACCATTATACGGGAGTAGATTTGTTACTAGCAGGAATTGAAACGGTGCCCTAGCCAGGAAAGGTTCTATAGCCCATTACTAATCCCTGAGTTATGCCATCCTCCAGTGTGAAGTGCCTAATTGCAGTTATAAAGTGATAGTTATGTTAAAAATATAATTGTTTAAAATGGGTGTTTAATATTCTTATGCCAGGTAGAGCTGTTCCCTGACACCGTTCACTAAATCTTAAAGTTTTAAGGAAATTAATATAAAGAACTGAGATTACAAGTTTAATTGATAAAATAATATTGTTTGTGACCCTGGAAGCCCATTAATGCCAACTGGCACAGGGCCCACTATTCTGTAACTCACAACAGGCCTGACACACTCATTGCCCCAACACACTCTTGTCATAATCTGTATCTAAAAAGTGTCATGTGAGGTATCATATATAAACTGGTAACACACTGGTCCCAAAAACCATTGCATGATGTATGTACAGGTTGTGTATAAAGAGAGATATGTATGTGTGCTGAATATGTGTTCTTAAAATGTATCTAGGAGGCAGTGCATAAATCCAACCTACCCTGACAAAGGAATGTGTATTTAAGTTGTCTGACCCAGTGTGATCACCAGCAGAGTACAATGCAAGCATATTTACATTTAAGGTAAACATAGACATCAAGCTAACAAGCAGAGGAGAAGGCTGCTTAACAATCACACCAGAGGACAAAATCTGCACCCCAGTAAATCTTTCTGACTCTCAAAACAGACACAATAGGGTAATGTAAGGGGGACAAAGAGACGTTTTAGTCATCCATCACTAGGTGTTGATAGTGTACAGCACCCTCTGAGAAGTTGGATCCTCTTGGAAGGAAAGGCAAGAGCTGCTAGAGACTTAATGTCAGTGAAAAACTTGCTTAGACAAAGATTGTAACTTGCTGAAATTAAGTTTGTCATTAGAAAGCATTTTGTTTTGTTTGTAACCACACTTGTCTTCTATTCTTAGTTAGTGTCATCTAAATCTCTGTTCTTTGTTAATGAACACTTTCTTGTTTTATTACAAAACCATCTCAGTGCTTTGTATTAAACTGGAGGGTGAATCCACAACTAGCCAAACAGTCTGGTGTGTGCTCTGTTCCTTTGGACATGGCAAACTTAATAACTTCTGTGAGTGTCCAGTGAGAAGGACTGGAAACTGCAGGGTACTGGGAAATTCGGGTGAAGGGCCAAAATCCATTTGCTGTGGATGTAAGATCTTAACTACAGTTTCTGCTAAGAACTTTTCATATAGGCCCAGAGTCCACAGCTTGGCCTGGGGCATGAGGGCTAGCTAACAGAGAACAATACATGGCTAAGAGAAAGCTGGGGCAAACAGACAACTTTGTGTGTTTCAAGTCAGTGAGCAGAGTCAGCATAACTCTGAATGTAATTGGGTGTCCTTATTACGAGTTATAGACACATGAAGCACTGAGAAAGGCCTCACAGTTAGCTCCCTAACACAGGGAGAAGATAGCGGTACAATACCCCTCAGATTCCAGACAGAGTTCGGGGAGAGGAAATGCAAGGGTAAAAGTATAAACAATTGTTATTTTTAAGTACTAATTACTGCTTTTTCACTTTAAATCTCCAGGAATGTACCTGTTGGTCAACCGGGAGAGCTGCTACCTCATTCCCCTGGACACCAAAATTAGGATTTAACCTATACACTTTAATAGACATAGTTTGAGGGTAATTACCTGTGTGTCAGCAATATGTTAATTTGAGCCATGGGCGGAGCCATTATGTAATCTTTTAGACCATTGGCTTATTGTGCTTATCTTGTCTTGCTGCTAGAACCTATCCAGGGGCTTGGGAAAACCCATCGCTGTTGCTTCTCTCCACCCAATAAGCACCCTATATACTCTATTGTAATCAATTGTTCCGCAGTGTCTCTGAGCCTAATAAGCAAAGTGACACTCCGCCAGCGCTGTGCGTAATAAACTCCTGTGCTTGACTCTACATGGTGTGGATTACTGTTCCTTCATCAGGTATTGAGGTTCACTGATTGTTACCAGCAAGACAAGGTTTGCACTGAATTAGTCCTGAAATATTTGCTGTCAGGGCAGACAAGCTGGTGTGTCAAGAGTTAACATAGCTCAGCAGCAGCAAAATTCTCACTTGCTGAGACTGAGAGGGGTAACACAGGGGCTCACCATTTTGGAAACCACAAGCAGGACATCACAGTATTGACATAATTTACTTACACTTCTGTATCCATTTGATTTGGTACAGCATGACATTTTGATGAAAAAATACTAAAATGATATAAAATTAACATGTCACATATAACATGCCAGAAGTTCGGAATGAGAGACAGGGAATGGATCACTTGATGATTACCTGTTCTGTTCATTCCCTCTAGGACACATGGCATTGGCCACTGCTGGAAGACAGGATACTGGGCTAGATGGACCTTTGGTCTGACCCAGTATGGCTGTTCTTATGTCACACAATAAATGGATTCAAAACTAGCTAACTGATAGGTCTCAAAATGTAATTGTAAACAGGGAATTGTCATTCAGTGGGTGTGTTTTCAATGGGTGTATTTCCAGTGGGGTGTCACAGGGATCCGTTCTTGGCCCTATGCTATTTAACATCTTTTATCAATGACTTTCAAGAAAACATAAAATCATCACTGATAAAGATTGCACATGACACAAAAACTGGGGGAGGGGTAAATGATGAAGAGGACGGGTCACTGATTCAGAGTAATCTGGATCACTTGGTAAACTGAGCAACTGCTGCTGAAATGCTGTGTCCTATTCTGGTGCCCACAATTCAAGAAGAATGTTGATAAATTGGAGAGAGTTCAGAGAAGAGCCACAAGAATGATGAAAGGATTAGAAAACAGGTCTTACTGTGATAGGCTAAAAGAGCTCAATTTATTTAGCTTAACAAAGAGAAGGTTAAGGGATGACTTGATTACAGTCTATAAGAATCTACATGGGGAACAAATATTTAATATTTAGTAATGGAATCTTCAGTCTAGCAGAGAAAAGTAATAATACAATCCAATGGCTGGACGTTGAAGCTAGACAAACTCAGACTGGAAATAAGGCATCAAATGTAACAGTAAGGATAACTAATCATCAGACCAGTTTAGTAATTTGTGGGGGATTCTGCATCACTGACAATTTTTAAATCAAGATTGGATGTTGTTCTAAAACCTACACTCGAGGAATTATTTTGGGGAAGTTCTATGGCCTGTGTTCTATAGGAGGTCAGACTGGATGATCACTATAGTCCCTTCTTGCCTTTGAATCCATGAACTATTAATCCTTTCTCATGATTTCTGACTTGCTTTCTCCTTCTATCATCCACTCTTCTCTCCTCAGATCAGGGTCTCTCTTGCCAACTCCAGTGCACCTCATCCCCTCTCTCTGCACCATTACCCCCATTTGTTTTAAATCATAGTAAAATTCAGTTGCTGGCACTAAATAATTGTGCTAGGAGAAGCAATCATACATACACTTACACACGTGATATGCGCACAAAATCACCTGATATTCAAGGTCAGGCAAGACCTGTTCTTTTCTTGTGCTTTTACCATAGTTGCTGCCAGTCATTCCAACACCAGTGAAAGAAGGGACAGAGGAAAACTCTGCTTTGTTCCCCAGGACAGAAGAAAAGCAAAAAAAATCAAGATATGAAAGGGCACCTATGAAGCCTTTGGATTAGAATATCAAAAGCTTCTGTAACTAAGGAAACCAGGTCCTATGTTATACATCTCCAAGATTTGGAACAAGTCCTATTCCATCCTCTCAGACACCATGTCAAGAGACTCTGACAATATGAATTCCTTACTTTTCATATCAGCTACACATAGAATCTGTGCACCCTACACAAATTGCACTTGTGAGAGGTATATGAAAGCAGGGCTCAGACTTGCTTGTTTTCCTAGTAACGGGCTGATCCTGCAAGGTATTGAGGTCTCACATTTTCCTTTGACGTCTGTGGAAACTGAAGACACTCGGAATGTCCCAGGATCAGGCCCACATTATTAAATTCTACTGGGAGCAAAAACGTGGGCCTTTGTGACTAGGACAGTCTTCATTTTTTGGACTGATGAAGCACAATAAATAACACTATCTTTAAAGCTGTGGTTTTCAAACTTTTTTTCTGGCGATACAGTTGAAAGAAAATTGTTGATGCCCACGACACAAAGGAGCTGGGGATGAGGGGTTTGGGGGTTTGGGAGGGGCTCAGGCTGGGGCAGAGGGTTGGGGGGTGGGGGTGAGGGCTGCGGACTGAAGCTGGGAATGAGGGGCTCAGTGTGTGGTCAGGGCTCTGGGCTGCGGGTGCAGACTCTGGGGTGGGGTCGGGGATGAGGGGCTTGGGGTGCAGGAGGGGGGCTCCGGGTATGGGTGGGGGGCTCAGGGCTGGGGCAGGGGGTTGGGGTATGGGAGGGGGTTAGGACTCTGGGCTGGGGGTGCAGGCTCTGGGATGGGGCTGGGGATGAGGGGTTTGGGGTGCAGGAAGGGGCTCTGGGTTTGGGGAGGGCTCAGGGCTGGGGCCCGGGGTTGGGGTGTGGGCTTACCTTGGGCGGCTCTCGGTCAGCAGTGCTAAGGCAGGTTTCCTGCCTGTCCTGGCACCATGGACTGCACTATGCCCCGGAAGCGCCCAGAAGCAGGTTCGGCTCCTAGGCGGAGGAACGCAAGCGGCTCCTCACAGCTCTTGCTCTCAGGCACAGGAGGGGTGGGGGCAGCACATGAAGCCCTGTGCCGCCCCCCACCTAGGAGCCAGACCTGTTGCTGGCCGCTTCTGGGGTGCAGCGCAGTGTCAGAACAGGTAGGCACTAGCCTGCCTTAGCCTGGCAGCACCACCGACGGGACTTTTAACGGCCCAGTCGGCAGTGCTGACCAGAACCATCACAACCCAGTGCCTTACATTCCGCGACCCACAGTTTGAAAACCACTGCTTTAGAGTATGTGGCAAATGAGTCATCTCAAAGACACATTTGAGAACTGGTGCTAACAGCTGTATACAAAGTATACAGAAGCCAGCAGTATACTCATCTTCCCCAGGACCCCAAGTGACTTTCAGGAAGCTTAAACATTTCACAGCCTGCTTCAGAAACTGGATTCTTAACAAGCAGAATCATAGGCACCAACTCTGTGCGTGCTCCGGGACTGGCGCACCCACAGGAAAAAATAGTGAGTGCTCAGCACCCACCGGCAGCCCTGCAGATCAGCATCTCCTCCTCCCCCGCAGCATTCCCGCCCACTGCGCATCAGCTGTTCAGTGGCATGCAGGAGGCACTGGAGGAGTGGGGACAGGGGGCGGGGGCAGGAAGAGGCAGGGAGGGAGGTTGGGACTTGGGGGAAGGGGTGGAGTGGGGGCAGGGCCTGGGGCTGAGCACGGGGTTGAACATCCCCCAGGAACTCCGGATGTTGGTGCCTCTGAGCAGAATGTTAAAATATATTGAAAGTATACTTTTAAAATACATATTTATATTACTATAAAATAGACTTGCAAAACTCTTTATTATTTTTAAACTGATGATTTATTCAGGTGTGTTTGGTTTTGCTTGAGGCTGGGATCAATGTCAAAATAAGTTCTGAATGGTTCAGCTGTGCTAGCCAATGACACCATTGGCCATCATTTGCCAGCAATGCCCCTCTGCCATGTACATTGGCCAAACCAGACAATCTCTACGTAAAAGGATAAATGGACACAAATCAGACATCAGGAATGGTAACATACAAAAGCCAGTAGGAGAACATTTCCATCTTCCTGGACACTGAATAACAGATTTAAAAGTAGCCATTCTTCAACAAAAAAACTTAAAAAACAGACTTCAAAAAGAAACTGCTGAGCTACAATTAATTTACAAACTTAACACCATCAGTTTGGGCTCGAATAGGGACCGGGAGTGGCTGGCTCATTACAAAAGCAATTTTTGGTCTCTTGGTATTGACACCTCCTCATCAAATATTGAGAGTGGACCACATCCACCCTGACTAAATTGGCCTTCAACATTGGTTCTCCACTTGTAAGGTAACTCCCTTCTCTTCATGTGCCAATATATATTTATGCCTGTATCTATAATATTCACTCCATGCATCTGAAGAAGTGGGTTTTTTACCCATGAAAGCTTATGCCCAAATAAATCTGTTAGTCTTTAAGGTGCCACCGGACTCCTCATTGTTTGTATAAATAGTCAATGTTATTTGTGCATCAGGTCATTATGGAAAATAAAGAGATTGCTGGAAATATCACAGGATCAATAATGAACCCAAGGTGAACAGCAGAGAAAATCACAAATACCATAAAATGATTTTAGCTTAATTAAATTACCTTCAGACAACACATTTTCCTCCAGGAAGGTAAGAATGAAAACAACTTAATCTAAACTTTGCCCCACTTGCCTGGAACAAGTAATGTGTTTGAGAGGAGCATAAAATATCATTAGATTGTTAAGAGCATCTTGGTAAAGAATTGACAAACAAATGTTGGGTGGGTTCCATGAAGATACTTAGGCACCTAAGTCCCATTTTTAGGCTCCACTGCAATCCAGAAAACTCCCACTTGGCTGCCACCTAAACCTGAAGACCCAAAATTCACTTGGTGCCTAAGTTTTTGCAGTAAAAGTTCCTGAGGTGCCTGTTTCTGCCTCAGAGCATGCACACTGCTGCACCTCTCTAGGTACTCAGATGCCTATCTCCTGTATAAGTCCCAGATAGATTCACAAATCAGGGAAAAGATAGGCAGCTGAATGCCTAAATTGCGTGTGGAGCCTGATCTGGTAGGCATGCTCAGAGGCAGCCTAACACCATACAAAACCATCACGGGTGAATTCCCTCATCACCTGTAGCTTAGCGGTTAGGATACACTCCCATGACGTAGGAGAGCCCTAGTTCAAATCTCCCCTCCCCTCCCACTTGCTGAGGAAAAGGGATTTGAACAGGGATCTATCACTGCTCTGGTGAGTGCTCTATCTA